CTGAAATGTCGTGTATGATGTACCCATGTGCTCATCACTAGGCCTCTAGAGACAGGAGGCGGCGCCTGCACACGAGCCGAGGCCGCCCCCGGGGGACCGCAGGCCTGCACTCCCGACGTCTTTCTTTCGGGGCGGCCTTTGGGGAACGGAGGCTATGCTGAGGGATCCTCCGTTGGTTCTTGTTGGCGGTTGGTCGTGCGATGGCTCCATCTTCAAGAAGCGGGGCTGGCCTGCGTCGTGCCCCGTCCCCGACCCCGGGAGCGGTCGAAGGAACTCCAGCCCCCAGCCCCCCGCCGGAGGCGGGTGAGTCATCAAACGCTTCTTAGGCCGACCGGGGCGTGAAGGAAGGGATCGGCCGGGCATTGGAGCTCACGCGCGGGCGCAGTGTCGTCCGTCATGACCTTCTGGAGGAAGCAACGAGCGCGCTGGGTCACCTTGGGACGGAGGTCCCTGACATTGACACGTGCCTCGAGGTGGAGGGCCTTCACCTCGCGCGCGAATGGCACCAACTGAAAGTCGCCATTAACTTGGCTGCTTGCAGCACGAGCACACCCACGCGGAGGCAGAGAAGTCTCTTGCAGCATCGCGGGAGGCTTGGGATCGTGCCTTGGAGGAAGCCCGAGCCGCGGACCGTCGGCGTGAGGCAGCCGAGGAGCGCGAAAGGGACCTTCGAGCTTCGAACGCCGCCCTTGAGCGGCAAGTCCAGGCGTGCAGAACCGCCCTTGCGGCGCCACCAGATGAGGCCCCCACAGACGAGACGAGACTTCGGGCGCATGAGGACGCGTTGGCGCTCGAGGCATTGGAGCACAGCCTGGAGCGCGAGTGCCAGGTGACTATCGTGAAGGACACCCTCGCTGCTCAGGAGGCGATGGTTCGGAAGGAGGTCGATGATAAGGTGGCCAAAGTCCGCAAGGCTCTCGCCGACGAGTACCGCGAGAAGTTGAAGCGCCAAGAGGCCCGCTTCCGCGCGCGGCGCGATGAGCTGAAGGGTGAGGCTGATAGCTTCAAGGGGAAGCTACCCGCGACGGAGCGACGTGAGCGAGCGGCAGTGGAATCCCAAGCCGCGACTGTTTCTGAGCTATTGTTCCTTCACACGCAGGTGAAAGGCATCACTTCTCTTGGGGCGAAGGCCTCGGATGAGGCAGAGCGAGCCCGGGGGCTGCAGCACACACGCTCCAAGATGTTTCAAGGCCTCGAGCACAGGGCCAACTGCGCCCTGAGCAACCTTTGCGATGAGAGCGTTGCCAGCCCCCTCATCGCCAATGATGTCGGTTATCTCGGCTTCTTCACCAGGGTTGTGGAGCACCTCGAGGGCAGAGCTGCGAGGGCGCGCCAGCTCGTCGAGGAGAAGAGCCGCGACCTTCTCGCGCGCGCCGTCTCACGCATCTTCAGCCATCCCCTCCGCTCTGATCCTAACTTTGACTTTGGGGCCCTGACCGCCCCGGTGCATGAGGTGGTCGAAGGCACCCTGGCGGACTGGGTGGATGACCATGTAGAGGACTTGATGGCGGAACATGTCCCTGTCGATGATGTGGTCGCGCCCGCAGCTGAAGAGGGTGGAGCGGATGGTAATGATGATGGTACCGATGCTGATAGCAGCGCGTCTTGCTAGGCTTGTATTTCCCTGCTTTCCTGTCAAAACTTTGAACGTGACCCCACGGGGATGCGGAAGCATTTTTCCTTGGAGAGGGCTCCCCTATAATGTATGAAACAATGATATTCCCACTAGATCATTTTTGAAAATATGCCATCGTGAGCCGGAGGGCTCCTGACTAGAGTAGTTGGTGTGGCTTAGCTTTTGTGTTCGCGGCATTGGACGGGTTCTTGTATCGCAGAGATGCGTTTCTCCTGAGGCGGGCCCTCCGGAGCCCCTAGTCCGCGGAATCTCAGGAAGGGCTTGCAAGAGCTTAGGGCCTCCTGGCGTGCCTCTGCCTGGCGTCGAGCTTTGCGGGAGTGTGGGGGCGCCCGGCATTGAGTGCCCCTAAGGCCCAGAGCTGAATGTCGGGCATGGTGTGTGCCTGCTGGCTCACTTGAGAGCGTCGTGCGAGGAGACAAGCGCCAAAGCTTTGGCAAGGTGTGTGCACGGGCGGACCCGCGGCAGTTATGTCCTTGGCCCCAAGGGGGCCCTGATGCCGCTCGGGCTAGCTCAGATGCGCACGCCACACCCAGCCCCAGCTCGTGGGGCGCTTGGGGGGGGGGAGCAGCAGGCAGGAGTCGTGCCTCCCAATACACAAATCGGAGAACAAGGAAACACCGCGAATCAACCCCCCCCTTTTTTTAATAAGTGCATGAAACTTCGAATTTCATTCCAAAAGCAGCAAATCGGATTACAAAAGAGAGCAAAAAGACGGTCGTGTCCGGCGTCTACACAAGTCTTCTCAACAGCACGGAGCTCGGTGCTTCCACTGGGCGTGGGCATAGTCATTGGAGGACAGTGTCGTCTGCCAGCGCGGAGCATGGTGCTTCCACTTGGACGTGGGTGGGAGCCCCCGTGAGGCTCAGGGGCAGCGCTCAGGAGACTCCCGGGAGTGTACAGTCCCACTCATTATTACGTGAGAGTGTCACGAGCGGAGACTTGAGGGGCACTCCTTGCTTCCCGAGCGGGGACCCCGCCCCGCGCATGCCCCGACCACCGTTGGGGCGTCCAGAAACCAGGAGAGGACCAATGAGTAAGGGGCTACACGGGCGGTGGTCAGGCGGCCGCAGGCCCTCGACCAGGGGAAGGGCTCACCGGCGCCTTCCCTGGCGGAGGACCCACTTCCGGATGGCACGCGCCACCGTCGTGGCGGCGCCCTGCACCGCGTGGCGCGGGGGAAGCTCTGGTGTCGGGCTTCCCCCGCGCGACCTCCCAGCGCGCCCTGCCTGGCTGAGGCGGGACCAACGTCCGGAGGTGCATAGTCGTGGTGTGATCTACCTGCGATCCAAGGTTAGCGCGACGTGTTCCAAAGATATTGGTTGTAACCGGTGGCGGTTGCTGTCGAAGGCGCTGGTGAGGCATTGAGTTGGCTCGTAAGGGGTCCCCGCCCCGTGTGGCCTTGGCGATCCTGACATCCAGGTAGACGGGGGAAACCTGCTCGGGCCTCCCGTTTGTTCATACAACGAGCCCACCAACGGCGGCGCAGAGGCACCAGGGGCCATCGTCCCGAAGCCAGCCACCAGTCCCTCTGCTCCGCCGCCCTCCATCTCCAATGTTCTGCCCTGCCAGCCTGGGGCGGCTCCTCGCCGTTGCCCCGGTGGGGCCGCCTAGCCTGGTCATACTCCGGGGGTGTGCCTCTTGGGTCAGGCAGGCGGCGCCGCGTGCGGGATCACCTTCGCGGGGCCCTCTGGGGCAGGCGCTGGTCCCTGGAGGTGTCTGCGATGCCGGCAGGATACAGAAGGGTGCCACGCGCTCGCAGGCAGCATCAAGCAGCTCAGCGACGCGGGCGAGCAAGGCGTCACGGCCGCCTTCGGCTAACCTGCACCGCAGAAACTCGTGCGCCACGAGGAGCGCGGCGCGCGTGTTCGCCTGCTCCCGACGAGCATGCAGGGACGATGCCACGGTGTAGCCAGTGGAGCGCGTGGTGGCACGGTTGCGACGCCGCATGGGAGAGAAAGGGAGCGGCCTATGCCGCCGGTGGTGGTTGACACTAGTAGCCGCGCCGGCGCGGGAAGCATAGGATGACGACGAGCTCCACGGTGGAGGGGCGCTACTTGGGTGGCTCGAGCAGCCCAACGCTCAGCAAGCTCGAGGAGCCTCTGACATGGGTGCGACGGAACGGACAAGGGGCGGAGATGGAAGAAGGGCTTCGACATGCCCCTACCTGGCGCGCCAAATGTCGGATTCAGGGCTCCACGGACCCAAGAAAGGTTCGAACTCTGGGGTGTGTGCGAAGAACTCAACCTCTCCAGCCAACTAGTTTGTCGCCCCCACGGCCTAGCTCGATGAACAGGAAAGACGATAGACACAACAGTTTACCCAGGTTCGGGCCACCTTACGGTGTAAAACCCTACTCCTGCTTTGTGGTGGATTAGCCTCACGAGGGGCTGAGGATGAACTAGTACAAGGGAAGAACAACCTCGCGAGGTCTACTCTGGTGTGGGTGTGAGTTGATGAGATGTGGATCTGATCCAGCGAGAGCTCCCCTCCTACGATGGTGACTAACCTATATTTATAGTGGTCTCAGTCCTCTTCCCCCAAAACGAAGGTGGTAAGGGATCCCACAGTGGTCAATTTGAAAGGGGACAAGTAGTACATCTTATTCTGACGAAAGGTGGTCTTCTCCTGCAAAGCTTGGTTTAAATTCAAAGTCCAAATGCAGAAAAAATTGAGATGCGGCGGCCGGTTGGGCGTACCAACGGGCGTACTAACATAATCCGGAACAAAACGGACATCCGTTGGAGTTGGCCTAACATAAAAATCTAACTTTGATACAAGAATGTGTTAAGAAACGATGAGAAGATGATCCATGACTGGCGAGGTAGGAGCGATAGAGATCCAACATGCTCAATTGCTCACGCGCGTAGCCTTTTCCAGTGGACATGATCCACTCCATTGACCGCCGACTAAAGGCATCTGAGCAGTGGAGAGCACGCCAAGCCTCTGACACAAAGTACTGCTGATACAGAAAACTCAAAAGAACAAAACATCCAAAAGCAGAGGCAAGTGCAAGGCTCATGGAGTGGTTGATCACTCCCTAACTCCACTTGTTACCCATGAAATTATCTCTCGCCTAAAACAGATTAACTATAATACTGATAAGTGACTAACTGACAGCACAACACCGACCAATTGTCTACAACAATGTCAGTCAGCTGAGGACAAGCAAGAAACTGGAAAAGAATCATCAAGCCAACCAAGTCTGTGTACAGGGTGTCAGTAGGAACTAGGAAGGCCGAGGCCAAGGCGGCCTCCCCCTCTCCGAACAGATCAATGTATCGCCCGCCAGGCAAGCATCAAGAGGATCATCCATACTAATAAAGAGCAAAAATAGAATTGTATATACCAATCACTGCCCGCCGCCTCAGTCGCCGTAATCCGTGCTGCCGCTGCACGAGCTGCTGCCGTCCCGGCTGCTCTGCAATGAAAGGCCCCTGAGGTGGCCAGGCAGGTTGACGCCGCCGTCCATGCTCTTCTCACGGAAGAACCTCTCCCTCTCGGCATGCTTGGCGGGTGGCGGCGGAATCAAGACAGCAGGGTCAGGCCTCGCCTCCGGGTGGTCTGGTGAGCGGATGTTCAGTGCAGTGGGTTTCCTGTCAGGGAGAGGTGTCTGGATGGTGAGCGGGCGGCGCATCTTCTCCTCGGGTATAGATCGAAACGATGGCATGGACTCGTCTATGTGGTCTTGCGATAAAGCCTTCCCCTTCCGCAGTCTGTTCCAGTGACAGGAAATTTGGTAAGAAGGCCCGACTTCAACCAATGAAGGAATAGAGTGATAGACCATACCTCCGGTATAGACTTTCAGCATCTTCTTCCTCCTCGTCCTCCTTGAGATTAGATGGCACTGTCGTCGCAGTTGGGTGAACTGAAAGCAGTGTATCGTGCCGTACAAGAACCTTCTGCAGCTCCTCATTCAATTCTATACATTGCGATACCACCACTTCATCCCTAGCAAGTAGTTATAACAATGAACACATCAATGCAATGACAGTATACTGAAGGAGCAAACACAAAAGGAAATGTCCACACTTGCATAGAAAGAAGTAGGGAAAACGGACAAGCAGCACCAAAAATTGAACCCTTACCTTGATGTCATAACCAGATGCATTATTCGTTGCTTTTGAAAAGTACATTGCTCTACAAGATCCAACACAAACTCATCTGTTGCTCCCTACAGAACAGAAAACTCCGATGTAAGAGTTCACGGTAGGTTTATCTTTACAAAAAGAAACATAGTGCATTCCACCAAAATTATTTCCCCAGAAGAAAATAACTGCTGCAGTATCAACCCTATAGTTGAGGATGTAAGTTATGGTTAATATATACCACAGGATGTCTAGGATCCATGGAATTTAATACATCCCTGAGAACTTCCATGACACTGGATGCTTTCCGAATTATACTGAAACACAGAAAAGTGCACTGTCAGAACTACTGATAGTCCAAAAGGCAATTAGATAACCAACACAGGAAACAATATATTTGTCACATCACAGGAATTATCTTGTCAATAAGTAACAGAGGACCATACATACTGGTACTTGCTCCCTATTCCCTAAGTATTCCTGCTACTAAATCTGGAATAATATCATGTTGAAACATGTGTTTTTATCCTTGTAAATGTTCAGGATACAGCTAACTGGTGCCATATCAGTCGGGTGCTGGGTATGGATAAATAGGTGAATCGGCCAAAAAATCGGTTAATCGGCTATTCGGTGACCCACCTAGTTGCGATTAACTGGCTAATATTTGGAACATTGATCCTTGCTGCTCCATGTGGGCGCTACTCATAACTACGAATAGTCAAACAGCATGTTACTTGCTCCTACCATGCAATGTCAACAATGATAGCTCAGCCAAAACACAGGTGGCACCTCAAATAGAACTAACTGGTTTAGCTGAGTGATAGAAATGGATTTCTCAAGTCAGAAATGCAACCCCTCAAAACACACTTTGACATCCATGTCCTTGGTCCTAATTGAAACCATTGAGTAACACCATATACAATAACCAGAAGAACAATACATGTACAGTAAAATCTGCTTTTGCTAAAATGACACAGGATGGTTAGAATGGAGTGTCAATGGCACTTACATGCTTATAATTTTCATCAGAAGGAGCCATGTTTATACTAGGAGTAAAAATGATTTCAGTTATTCAGGCATGAAACGTTTAGGTTTTTTTGAGCATAGAGACTGGAATGACAACATGTTAGCTTCATTAGAATATTAAAAATGTATCAAACTAAGATACTAGCACAAAACAAAATTAACACATATTTAAAGGTGGGATACAGGTTGCACAATGAAATGATTACTATCAACCCCATAAATACCTCGTGTCAGAAACAAGCTGCACGTTAGCTTCCTGTTGAACACCATTCGATCTGCTAGATAGATTGTCCTTATTCGGTTCGGTTATTGTTTCTGGCACAGGATTGTGTACTTGTGTAATGACAACATTTGGACGATTCGAAAACTTCACACCAGCAGACTAAGAACATGAAAACATATATCAGCTATATACCAAAAAGAGTAGCTATTCTTACTATCTACTTAAAACTACTAATATTCAAATAATCACTGCATAGTGCATAGTGACTATATTGGAGTAGTAACTTGTAAGGTTGTTAAGGCACAAAGGTAGAACGACCAACAGATATTATGCAACATACTTAAGGACTCAAAAGTTAATAATAGTATGCCTCATAAGCGCATGTATTTGTCTCGGTCCAGGGAAAATATTACAGTAATGAAATTCCTTATACTACTCTGCGCGATCCAATTTTGTTGCAGTACATGGAAGAAAGAAAGGAAATCAAGATAGATTTTTTTTAACCTACCACTAATTCATAATATGCCTCATAGTACTGGGGGAACTTTCCTTTAGCTCCACCAAGGGATGTTTGGGTCGCATCTAACAAAAGAAATATCTTTTCCCGAAGTGGCAATTCCGTCTGAAACAAAGAGTATTTGTTATGTCAACATCAGTTAGTAAAGGTACACAACTGTCCTCCAACAATAAGCGAAAAAGAAGTCACCTTTTTCTTCACTATTTTGACAAGTATCGGAAGAAGCCCATTATCAATGACCTGCTTGTGGATAGGCTCTCCACAGTTATTCATGAGCATCTCCAACAGCTGGAAGAAATAGCACCGCAAATGGATGTTGATTATAAATGAAAATGGATTTACTAATTTTCTCTTGGGATATGACAGGTTATTTAGTTACAGTGAGAGAAAAAAATAGATTAACATCACACAACTGACCGCACAGACAGAAGCATATTAGGCACCTCTGTGTTCTCTTTTATAAAAAAAGCAGTGATCAGGGCACCAGGGAGGCTGAGTTCTGTTTTGCAATAGCAGGGCACTGAACCAAATAAAGGATTTGCTGAGTTCTGTTTTGCAATAGCAGAGGCGTAGATAATCCCCTTCTTCTTACATGTCCCAGATATTTATTAAGAAGTACTAAGAGGTTCATATGACTAATCTATAACCCCAAACACCGCAGCAGGTCGAGGAACCAAGCCACAAAGAGACTAATTCGGCACATATAACTCACCATGACAGCATAAAGTTGAGCATTCTTGCTCCTGCTTCCTATACACTTCTTTATAGATTTGATCACATCCTTCGCTTTCCTGGTGACAGTAACAGGGAGAGAGAAAAATGGATCATTTGAGGAAACAAACGCCGTCATTCCAAATGGCAACCTAAGAGCCATGGATGTCTAAAAAAATCAGCATGCCAAGAAGAACCGATCGCTCCTTCAGATCGATTCACCGTTCACTCAAGAAAATACGGGGATAAAATATATATTTTTAAGAGAACAGGGAGATAATATAATATATGTTGCAAAATCATAAACTAAATCTTTGAACTGGCAAGAAGTTGCAATGCTACACGCATGACTGAATATTTCGTAACAAGTGGGTATTCTGCAATGGAACGGCAAGATTACCCCGGATCCTGAGCGACGAGCTCGCAGATTTCGATGTTCTTGGCCCAGTCCATCTCCTTGAGCTTCTCGCTCGTCGCCGCCTTCACCATTTCCGAAGCCATCTCCACCAGACTCTCTTCAACGAGTTCAAACTACGAGGTTTCTTCCCCCACCGGACTAATTCAAACCTGATTCCACCACACAGATGAGTAAAATAAGCGGAAAATCCCTCTTGTCGTACACAGAGGCACTAATTAAACCATAAGTATCGCGTCTTTCGCGACCCGCGAGCACCACGCAAAGAACATTCTTTCAGGCGAGGAAGAAGAACAGATACTAATCTACAGCCACAAGATCGCTCACTTCGAGGGGGGGAAGGGGAAAAGAGAAGAGAACATAGCACGCACGAACCCGGATCGGCCGCGACTGAATCGAGAAGCGTCCCTAGTGCATCGTCGCCGGCGGCGGGGGAGCCATGGTTGGGGGTGGCTCGCGCAGTGATCTCAGTGGGAAGGGAAGGGAGGGGAGGGGGAAGAGAGAGAGAGAGAGAGAGAGAGAGGGGTATGGAAGGTGAGGTTATTTGCAAATTTCAATGCAATTTCTCATTTTGCAGATTGCACCCTGTCTTTTCAGGTATCGGAGTTTCACCAGCGTTGTCACCATCGTCGTCCAAGGAAAACTTCGAAAAGGTAATCAAGCCAATCAGCTTCATATCTTGTGTACTACGAAATTACAACTGAAAATGACAATGTTGTCTTACTTCCTTTGTTTTGGCTTATAATAAGGCCTCAGTGGTTTCCGGCCAGGTTCTTTTAGACAATTTTGGGCTATTGTTAAGGATGATATAATCAAATCGGTTAGGGATTTCTTTCACAATGGTGTCATGCCGGATTATGTCAATGATACTATTATTGTGCTCATCATAAAAATCCTAATCCGGTAAACTCACTGATTTCAGGCCGATAAATTTGTGCAACATACTCCCTCCGTCTCATGATATAAGGGTGTTTTTTATAACTATCTTCGAAACGTACTTCCTTTATTTTTTATATAAGGCCGATAAATCTGTCAGAGCGCTCCTGGAATCTCACATCTTCTATTTGTGGATGATACATTCCATTTTTTGAAGCAAACAGAGGCGGTGCAGCACATGTAAAAAGTGTGCTTAACACATATGAGTTAGCTATGGGGCAATCTCTAACCCCAGCAAAGTGTTCAATTCTGTTTGTGAACTCTTGCTCTACTGGCCAACAATTAGAGGCCAGACTTGAACTATCGGTGGATAACTCACATTTTGAAGAGAAGTACTTGGGCTTACCGACGCCAGATGGATGTATGACTAAGGACAAGTTTCAGAATTGCAGTCCAAATTATAAAAACGTATGATGTTGTGGGGATGCCCATCTCAGGGTGGAAAGAAAACTCTCATTAAATCAATTGCATGATCTATTCCAACGTATATAACGAGTATTTTCAAGCTACTCCTTGGTCTATGTGATGATCTAAATGAGATGATTAGAAATTATTGGTGGGGATCATATCAAGGGAAAAGGAAGGCCCAAGGGAAGTCATGGGAAAAGAAGATTAAACCAAAAGGTTTGGGCGGCATGGGATTCTGTGATTTTAGACTGTTCAATCAAGCTTTACTTGCGCGACAAGCCTGGCGTCTCATCACAAACCCAGAGAGCTTTTGTCCACAACTGCTAAAAGACAAATACTACCCCCAATGAGCGCCTTAGGGACATGGTGTTTGCTTCGAACCCATCTTCATCGTGGCAAGGCATCACCCATGGACTGGAACTAATGAAAAAGAGTCTACTGTGGCGGATTGGTAATGGGACACAAGTTCAGATTTGGAGGGATAGGTGCATACTCAGGGGACTGGACTTCAACGTGATCTCACATAAAAGAAGATGCCGCCCCAAGTTGGTGTAAGACTTGATCAGCGTGAATGGTGCATTGAAGGAGGAAATGATCAGGCGGTACCTTCCCCTTGATGCTTCAGAGATCCTGAAACTGAAACTTCCTGCTGCAGATAGTGTGGACTTCATCACCTGGGCGTGAGCCGTCAGGGAATTTCTCTATTCATAGTGCGTATAAACTGGCTTTTGATGAACTCTATCAGGAGTCTCAGTCATCCTCCAGCAGCTCACCCAGGGCGAGAGAGGGTACTAGAAGCAGATTTGGGGAAGCCTGGCACAACCCAAAGTTTGTGTTTTTGCTTGGCGCACTGCAAAATAGTGCATTACCTACATGGGAACGTAAGAATGTGATAAACCTATAAGTTGATGATCACTGCCCTATCCGTGGAATTGAGAAGCAAACCACCTTTCATGCGTTTTGTCGCTGCCCTCATGCGACTGCATTGTGGTGTGCAATGGAGGAGATCAAGCCTCTACCACCATTTTTGAGATTGAGAACACGGGACCCAAATGGTTGCTGTTGGGAAACGTAGCATGCAATTTTAAAAAAAATCCTACGCTCACGCAAGATCTGTATAGGAGATGCATGGCAACTAGAGGGGAGAGTGTGTCTACGTACCCTCGTAGACCGAAAGCGGAAGCGTTTGACAACGCGGTTGATGTAGTCGAACTTTTTCTCGTTCCGACCGATCAAGCACCGAACGTACGGCACCTCCGAGTTCTGCACACGATCATCTCGATGACGTCCCTCGAACTCTTGATCCAACAAAGTGTCGAGGAAGTAGATGAGTTCCGTCAGCACGACGACGTGGTGATGGTGACGGTGATGTGATTCGCGCAGGGCTTCGCCTAAGCACTACGAGAATATGACCGAGGGTGTAATCCGTGGAGGGAGGCGCCGCACACGGCTAACAGATGGTGTTGTGTGTTCTAGGTGCCTCCCCCCTCATATATATAGGTGGGAGGGAGAGGGAGCAACCAAGGGGTGCCCCGGGTAGGAGGAATCCTACGTGGGGGCCTTGTCCAATTCGCCCCCCTCCTACCATATTTACCGGAGGGGGAAGGAAAGAGGAGGGAGGAGGGAAGGAAGGGGGAGCCCGAATCCCTCCCCTTCCTTCTCTCTTCCCCACTTTCCTTCCTACTAAGGTGCGGCCCATATGGGGGGCGCAGCAGCCCCTGCTGGCTGCTACATTTCCCCTCTTGGCCCATTAGGCCCATATCTTTGTCGGGGGTGCCCGGAACCCCTTCTGGCGACCCCATATGTACCTGGTACCCTCCAGAACACTTCTGGTGTCCGAATACTATCGTCCTATATATCAATCTTTACCTGTCGACCATTTCGAGACTCCTCGTCATGTCTGTGATCTCATCCAGGACTCCGAACAACATTTGGTCACCAAATCACATAACTCATATAATACAAAATCGTCATCGAACGTTAAGCGTGCGGACCCTACGGGTTCGAGAACTATGTAGACATGACCGAGACACCTATCTGGTCAATAACCAATAGCAGAACCTAGATGCTCATATTGGCTCTTACATATTCTACGAAGATCATTATCGGTCGAAACGTTATGACAACATACGGTATTCCCTTTACCATCGGTATGTTACTTGCCCAAGGTTCGATCGTCAGTATCAACATACCTAGTTCAATCTCGTTACCGGCAAGTCTATTTACTCGTTCTATAATACATCATCTTGTAACTAACTCATTAGTCACTTTGCTTGCAATGTTGGCGAACGTAGTATTTCAAAAAAATTGCCTACGATCATGCAAGATCTATCTTGGAGAAACATAGCAACGAGCGGGGAGAGTGTGTCCACGTACCCTCGTAGAGCGAAAGCGGAAGCGTTTAGTAACGCGGTTGATGTAGTCGAACGTCTTCGTGATCCAACCGATCCAAGTACCGAACGTACGGCACCTCCGCGATCTGCACACGTTCAGCTCGGTGACGTCCCTCGAACTCTTGATATAGTTGAGGCCGAGGGAGAGTTTCGTCAGCACGATGGCATGGTGACGGTGATGATGAAGTTACCGGTGCAGGGCTTCGCCTAAGCACTACGATGATATGACCGAGTTGTGTAACTGTGGAGGGGGCACCGCACACGGCTAAAAGATCAACTTGTGTGTTCTAGGGTGCCCCCTTGCCCCCGTATATAAAGGAGGGAGGGGGAGGCCGGCCGGCCCTAGGGGCGCGCCCAAGGAGAGGTAGTCCTACTAGGATTACCAATCCTAGTAGGATTCCTCCACAAGAAAGAGAGGGGGAATGAAGGAGAGGGAGAGGGAGTAGGAAAGGGGGGCGCCGCCCCCCTTCCCTTGTCCACTTCGGACTGCAAGGAAGGGGGTGCGCAGACTGCCCTGGCTGCCCTCCTCTCTCTCCAACAAGGCCCATGGTGGCCCATTAGTTCCCCCGGGGGGTTCCGGTAACCCCTCCGGCACTCCGGTTTTTACCCGAAACCATCCAGAACACTTCCGGTGTCCAAATAACATGGTCCAATATATCAATCTTTATGTCTCGACCATTTCTAGACTCCTCGTCATGTTCGTGATCTCATCCGGGACTCCGAACAACCTTCGTTCATCAAAATCACATAAACTCGTAATACAAATCGTCATCGAACGTTAAGCATGCGGACTCTATGGGTTAAAGAACTATGTAGACATGACCGAGACACATCTCCGGTCAATAACCAATAGCGGAACATGGATGATCATATTGGCTCATACATATTCTACGAAGATCTTTATCGGTCAAACGCATAACAACATACGTTGTTCCCTTTGTCATCGGTATGTTACTTGCCCGAGATTCAATCGTCGGTATCCACATACCTAGTTCAATCTCGTTACCGGCAAGTCCCTTTACTCATTCCATAATGCATCATCCCGGACTAACTCTTTAGTCACATTGCTTGCAAGGCCTATAGTGATGTGCACTACCGAGAGGGCCTAGAGATACATGTCCGACATTCGGAATGACAAGTCCTAATATCGATCTATGCAAACTTAACGAACACTATCAGAGACACCTGTAGAGCATCTTTATAATCACCCAATTACGTTGTGACATTTGATAGCACACTAAGTGTTCCTCTGGTATTCGGGAGTTGCATAATCTCATAGTCATAGGAACATGTATAAGTCATATAGAAAGCAATAGCAATAAACTAAACGATCATAGTGCTAAGCTAAC